ACATACTAAAATCCACTGTATTGCATATTTAAAATGGGTAACTTTTATAGTATGTAAACTATACCTCAATCAAGTTGTTTTTTAAAATGTTATAGCAGCCTTACTCATAATGGTAAAAAATAGAAACAAACCAAAAATACATAAACAAGAAAATAAATAAATAAACACATTGTGATATAGCCACACCATGGAATACAGTTTAGCAATGAAAAGGGAAAACTACTAATACACAACATGGATGAACCTTCAAACATTTTGATGAGGGAAAGAACCAGATCAAAGACTAACATACTGCAGGCCTTATTTTAAACAAAGATGCAAAACTAATCTATGATGACAGAAATCACAACAGTGGTTCTTGTGGGGGGAGGGAAGGGTATGAGGTAATGACTGTGATGGGGGAGACAGGAACTTTCAGGTGTGATGCAAATGTTCTTTACCTTGATAGGGATGTAGGTTACATTAAGTATATGCATGCGTCAAACCTCATCAAACTGCACACTTAAGACCTGTGCATTCTATTGTGTGTAAATTATACTCCAATTAAAAAATAAAACTAGCTTCCCACTGAGCACTTATTTTCTAACTAAAGAACATATCATTTATAGAGTAAACTGACAAATATGAATGCTTTCGTCAACAATTCCTTTCATATATCTAAGGGTTGCAAGTCACCTCCCAGAATAGCCACTCAGCTTAGTTTCAAGATATCTTTCTATACAGTGACATGCAAACCTCAAAATGCTCCCTCTATATGTGCTATTTCCCTTTTGCCACACTTGGATGCTTTGAATGAATTATTCCAAGAGGAAATCTAAATAATGGTGTTTTTTAAATGAGCAATTATATTAAAGATTACATAATATGTGGGGTAAGCCTATTTTCTCCTCTTCCCTAGGGTAGACCTTGATGGATTCAAGTCTTGAACTTCACTTAAATCAATTATTTATTAAGATGCAATTAGCACTATGCTACACATGGACTATTCTCACAGAACTCATAATCTACTGAGAAGAACAAAAACTAAGAAATATAATAACAAACACAATTATTAAGCACTCTTTTTCTACATGTCAGGATGGCAAATACCTGTGAAGCATGCAGCCACTGCTTCCTCTTTTATAAATGGGAAACAATTAATTGATAGTGACACTTTTTCTTGCTGAGCTTTTATGCAGTCTCAGAATTCTTAATGCAGAGCTCCATGAAGGCCCTAACAATGTGCTTGAACTGGCAGAGGAAATAAAACCTATGTACCTCTGTTATATGTTGTAAAAATATACAGAAGAAGCAAACCAAAAAAGGCTAGAGAATGTTTTAGTGAGGAGGCAGAACATTCATTCATTCATCAACCAACACTCATTTACATTACCTACTATGTGACAGGAATTAGAACTACCAGGGAAACTAATTCAACAAGATATGGTCCCATACTTCCAAGAATTCAAGTTCCAGTGAAAAAGCAAAACAATGATAAAACAGGTGTTGAAAGCTATGAAGTACACACAAGAGCATTCTGGTCATCTAAATAGGCCATGATCAGGGAAAACTTCCAGGAAAAAGTGACTCTTTGACCAAGTTCTGAAGCAGTTAGCCAAATAAAAAAAGATGGAAGGGAATGACGTCTCCAAGATGATAACACAGGCCATTCCTAACTTCGCTCCTCCTTCGCTCACAAGACATCAACTGAGACTTGGAGAGAAAGGAAGAGTCCTAAAGCTATATAAATTCCTCGATCCAGTCAACTATGAGGCCAGCTCTCACCCTACTCTTCCATGGTTTGGTTATAGGAACCAAATAAATGTCTCTCTTTTGCTTATGCTAGATTGAGTTGGGCTTCTGTTATTTACAACCAAAGAGAGCTAACAAATACAATAAATATGAATAAGAAAGGGCATGGGAACAAAAGTGAGCATGATATGTTCTGAGGAGTAAGGCAATAGGTTGAAGTGCTTAGGTAAAACCAGATTTTAGGTGAGATTATTTTTTTTGGTGAGATTTTTAAAAGCTAGGCAGAATTTATTTGCTTTGAAGATTTAATAGTCTATTCTCCTGTGTTTTGGCAGCATTAACTATAGGGTTCATTTTTTTTTTTGAGATATTTATTTCAATCACATACTGACCATTTATCGTAATTTTAGAAATCAAAAGATTCCATCTTACTTTTCAGCTAATATGACCAGGACCTAAAATGAATAATTTATCCAAGCTCATATACTTAAGGTAGACATGTTAAAAGCATAGTGCAATAAAAAGGAAATAGGCTACGGAGCCAGATAGGACTGAGTTTGTTTTCCAGCTCCCTCTCTCACCCAGTGCTTTTTATTTTTAATGTAATTTTTTAATAGGTAGTACCTAGACATTATAGAAAATTTAAGTTTATATTATGCCAAGTAAGCCTTTCTCCTATCCCTCTTCAACCCCTCCTTCCCCACCCTTTGGCAATCACTATTAGAACTTCTTGGGTGCTCTTCTAGAGATAGTCTATTCAAGCATATTAAAGACTTGACCTTTTACACTTCAAAACATATGATGATCACTAAAATTTTTAAAGCTATTGAAATGTACTAGAAGGACTGGAGTTGAGGAAGACAGGTAAAAGTGAGACTAAAGAGAAATAAGTAGCTATGAGATGCTCTACCCAGCAGCACTAGCATTTAAAAAGGTAACATATTAAAATTAAAAACAAACAAAACAACTTTAAGGATCAAATAATGCTCCTTACAAGGTATGGTTAGTTGAGGTTTTAAGAGGTATGTATGAGCACCTATTCTGTTATTCATTCTACTTGCCTAGAATTCTCTTGGGAGGTTCCTGACTACACTGTAGTGAAGGGTTAGAGGACTGGTGGCAACCACATATCTTTTACATTTAATGAAGAAAAATAGTTTCCATCCTCTATTCCTGAAAGTGTCATTTTATTCTAATTGTGTCAGGGTGAGAGAGATTACAAAGAATTGGGATTGGAAAGAAAGTACTGAGATTAATAGCACGTAATCATGAATTATGTGATGAATGGAGAAAGAAAAAAGGGGAATGATGAAATTACCCTGAGATAAGGTTAGCTAGCAGTTAGAGGAATATACGGGCAGTTCAAGTATTCCACATCACCCAGCAATAAAGTAAAAAATATTTTCCCTTTAGAATTATATCCAGTAAAAACCTAATTTAAGAGGAGATGAGTGGGATGTATAATGTTCTCAACAGAGGTTAGGAATTTTAGAGTACCCATGGAAAGAAAAGGTCTTGGCGTAAGTAACATATTAAAGATGGAAAGAATTAAGTCAATAATTGGGCATACAATATAACAAAGACTAGTACATTTTTAGGAGTAGAAAACATCTATTTTAGAGTTGAAACTTATTTTCAGACTTCTTTTTTGAACTCTCTGAAAAGAGGTTTTTCTATATTCCTAGAGCAATGGCATAATCATTGCAACATTTAATAATATTCAGGTCCCAGCAAGCGAGGAATACCTATAATGGAAATGAAACGTAACTTTCATATGCTTTTAACAAGTGTCAAGCATAATGTGAATTTCATTTTCTTTTGATCAATTCCTTAAAATAATTATGTAGAAAGTATAATTAGACTTCATTTACAAATGCAGAAAATGTCTTGACATTAGGATTATTCAAAGTGAATTTTATTATATATCAAGTTATTTAATAAAAGAAAACAATCAGAACACAGTTTTAACATTATAATGAAAGACAAAATATATGCTATATAACATACGAGTACCTATGCCTGTTTAAATACAACTCAGGCTGAGTATGTATATTACATAGATGAGATACTGATAAGTCTGCTTTTTTTTCCTTTCCTTCTTTCAAATCAGGTAAAAAGTAAGTATGGAACAATTTATAAAAATTATTTTTCCCTCCACTAACAGTTGGGGGTAATTTCTTAGGAATAGGGTGTACCATTTGTATCTTCTTTTTCATTCACATAAAGCTAACTTCCAATTAAATCAATGGATTTTTAAAAGTTGAAATCAATCCAAAAGTGTGTTTTCCATTTTCAAACATAAAATTAATAATCAGTCTATATTTGGGGTCATTTAAAGTTTCATGTAAGAAATGGTAACAGTGGTTTGTAAATAACTTAAAAAGAATTTCTAGCATCTGTTTTAACAACAAGTTCTGTATTTGTGTGAATAAAGACTATATTATTAATATAGTCACAGAGTTAGTTGTTTTCATATAGATGAATTTCATTTCCCTAACTTGTCAAGCAAATGCCTGAAACAACAACAAAAAACAACTGAAAACCATGTATATATTCTAAAGTGAAACCAAGGGACACCTGACCATGTAAAAAAATCAATTAATGGAATTACTGACAAGAATATATACCTAATAGAAAAATAATGAAACTTTCAAATAATTACCTAAAGAAGTAAAAAGAGCTCTAACATTTTATTAGTACTGTCTTCTATATTAAAAGATACTTTATAATAGTCTCATTTCCCAATCTAAAAGGTTTGTAGAGGCTTTATGAAATCTTAAAAAAAAAAAGTGACCGATAGTACTAGGAAGTTATATGTAAGCTGCACTACCCTCTAATGGTGAACAGTAAGAAAATATATGATCAGGTTAATTTTATCCATGAGTATAAGCTACATAATTACGGCTTACCTTACAATTTCTATGGTTCCAAAATATCTTGAGATATGGTTTCAGGGTGTTTTTAACAAAGATTTAAACAGACGGTTTCCCTAAAATTTTAACTTACATGTGGTAACCTCTTGGCTCCATACACACACTAATTAGGATGCTAAAGCCAAATGATACTGTATTTCATACAAATAATATTTTATTCTACCATAATGTATTTTATATCCTTATAATTGCCAGATATATGACTGAGTTCACTCATGAGACACCTATGGGTTGTCCTTTAAATGGCTATGTTTCAAAAAAGACTTACTGCTAAACATTAAAGTACTATTCTTAAAATGAAATGTTTTCTATAATGAAGATGGTTACAACACTTACCTCTGTCTTTTTACTAATGTGATCTGTAAATAAAAAAAAAGTGATGACACTTCATTGGAGGAAATTAACATAAAATATCTTAATATGTAAAAAAATATTTAAACAAAATAATTGAAAAGAATTTCAAAATTATAATAAGAGTTTCAGAAGTTATTTGGGGTTTGTCTACGATTCATCAGATTTACTTTTGTAGGGGCAGGATGTTAAAATTCAGTATATAACTATTAATTTGTTCAGATTAGGGGTTAGGTCTTGTATCCCAGTAAATGCCACCCGTACCAAGGTGTATTATTAAATTTTAAATATTTGAATTGCATATCATTTAAGTTTTTGGTTTCACATAATTTGGGAGGGAGGATCTTAAGGGTGTACAAATATGTCTAAAATCAAATCAAAGGGTGTTGTGACTGCAAAGATTATACTGACTACTGCCCTTGTGGAATAAAAAAAGTAAAATAGTAATTTGTGTCCTTTAAAGCTATTAGCTAGTTTTTTTATTTAAAAAATATACATTATAGTGATTTGATATGAAAAAATTTTTAAAAATTGATGTATATTTATAGAATGAACACAAAAAAGAAGGCATAACAAATATATCTAGATTAAACAAATCACTGATTTAGTAACAACACAGTATTTGTGGAAAGGGAATACAGAATGAGGAAAAGGTATAAGGGAATCCACACAGATATAAGGTTGAAACTAAAGTACAAATAGGGAGCAAGTGTTCTTATTTAAATTGGAAATGATCAGGATATCTAATATTTAATAATGCTTCATGGGGACAGCAGAAATTTTCCATTCTCAAAGACTAATAATTTAATATAATAGCTTTCTAAAGACCAAGAATCTAAAAGCTAGACCAATTCTCTAAAGCATCCATTGATCGGAATAGAGTCCATAAACATAGATTTCAAAATCACAAGATCAAACTACCAAACCCTGGTAGCTTACACAGTCGATCTTCTAGCATGTTCTACTTTGCATCGAGTGTATGCCAGAAACCAAGGAAGGATCACAACTGTGTTAATTATGTCTTGTAATAATTGTATAATTTCACCTTAACAGTATCAGTAAGGATGTGTTTCTCAATCCATCTAATAAACGTACATAATACTTAATAAATCAAACATATGGAAAATAAATTAAGGAGTTTTTTAAAAGTATTTCTTTTGCGTTTCATAGTTTTTAATGAAGTATATCTTATATAAAATCTTTCTTACTAAAATTGGAAACTTTAACATACATCTGTTTTTTTAACACCAAAACAAAGCAACTTAGAGAAAAGACTGTAAGAAAAACCTTCCTGATTCTTAAAGGAAAGCAATATAATCCTCTAATTTTATTCCTAATTTCACAGATAGGCTTGTTTCTGAAAACAGTAAAGTAGGGTTTTTTTGGGTTTGTTTTTTTTCTTGAGATTATTGTTATGGTATTACTAATCCTCACAGAACAAATGCCCAATGTATTAAGGCTAAATTCATGTGAATCAAATAGGCTGCTTTGTCAATGAACAAACAGCTGTTCATTTGGTCGGCAACTATGCTAACTGGCCTAAGCACAACGCTGTTCAAAAACATTTTCTGTGACTGTGCTGTCTAATATGGAAGCTATTAGTCACATGTGGCTACTGAGCACTTAAATGTGGCTAATACAACTAAGGAATTTTTTATTTTAGTTCATTTTAATTAATTTTTATTTAAGCTGCCACACAATAATAGTAGCTACCATACTACATAGTACAGATCTAGGGTTTTCACCATTTCCTACAACACAAATAACGTACTTTGTGGTCTGTCTTTAAAAGTTTGGTGGATGGTACAATTTCCTTTTATTTTTTCTCTTTGATTAAAAAAAATACAAATGATATTATAAAGAGTTTTCTGGTAATAGGTCTCATTTTTAAAATTTATATTTTAACTTTCTAAGATGTAGTTCCAAATAACTTAGGTTTACCAACAATAAATGAAACCTGAAGATAATACTACTCCTGGTCTAGTTTAAGCCAAATCACTTTATGTATAAGGACAATAATATGTTGCATGACTTAAAAACTACAAATGTCAATTTTTATTTTCAGTGAATTTTAGAAAAGGGACAAATTCAGAAATACAAAAAGGTAAATTATAGTTTATGGGGTTTTAATGATTGATTTTAAATTGCTTTAACCCCTAAATTGTTTATTTCCAAACAGGTTTACATATTCAGTAGCACATTAACAAAACAATTTTTACTTATTAGAAAGTATATAAAGACTGAGAATAGTTCCTGTAGCATAAGAGATTTCATACCTGTATTACCTTCAGATTGAAAATCTTTTAGTGATACTGTGAGAGGTTTGTCTTTTCCCTGATGATTCTTTCTTTTATCTTTTTTATTCATAACCTTTGACTGAGTTGAAGCATTTTCAGTATTTTCATACTCCTAAAAGAATTACCAACAATCATTAAGCTTAGTTACACTAGTAAAATCAACTCACCAACAGGTAATACGTTCATTCAAGTTTTCTTTTTAAAGATAAAAGGCAAATGAAAAATAACTTAGGCTAGTCAAACTGTATAAAAGGATACCTGTTTATTTATATACTCAATCTCTTGCTTCTTAAACATTAAAATAAAAATGAAAAGCTATACCTTGGTCTAGTTGCCCTGCCTAGTAGCCAGCTTCTTCTGGACCAAACTTAATCATCTACATACAATTTGCTTTCTCATCTCCCCCCAAAAACCTGGCTTCTGTTGTTCTCTGACACTAAAATTAAGGTCAACTTGCTTTTAAATGCCAAATCCAAAAGACGTTATTTTTTCAAGCATTTCTTGGTTTTCTCAATACTCCTGACTACACTTGAGTCGCCTTCACTGGTTTTCTTTTCCAAACTCTTGTTCTGAAAAATGTAGCTGCTGCTCACCATTATTCCATTCTAATCTATTCTTATGTTTCATACCCATTGTTCTTCAAACTCAAGTGTAAAGTTCTACTTATCCAATGATGATTTCTATATGTACAGACAATAAAACTGAATGTTCAATAAGCATCTCAATTCTCTAGTACGGATTTATCCTCTAGAAAGCACCTTGTTTAATGCCACCATCTCCTACACAACTGTCTAGGCCAGAAACTTCAGTCATCCTTGCCTACTCTTCCTACACAATTTTATATCCAAATTAGTCACTATGTCTTGTTGAGTTTACCTCCTAAAGCTCTCTTAAATCTATTCTCTTTTCTTTGTACATTCTGCCATTTCCCCTATCTTCTTTTATTTAACACTACAACACCCTCTAATTTTAGCCCCTCAATCAATCTTCTACACTGCTACAGCATGAGTTTCTAAAATGAAATCAGTCTAAAAGTTTAAAATATTCAATAGTTCTCTGCTGACAGATGTATAACCCAATTTCCTTTGCCTGGTACACAAGGTTCTTTACATCCTATTCTTCTGGCAGTACCTCCAGCAACTCTATCTCCCTAAATTATAGTTTCTCAAATATGCTATACTCTTACACATGTACATATCTTGTATACTTGCCATTTCTCCCAAGAATGCCAACTTTCCTCTTACCTACTCTGTGAACTTCTAATACATCTAGTAAGATCCTCTTTTAAGAATCCCTAACCCTAACCCATGCCCCTGAAAGGCAAAGAAAATTCTTCTCTTTCTGAATAACTGGTGCAACCGGGAACATACATCTCTCAGTATTATACACTATAATTATATGTATGTCTCCCTACAGGGGCTGGGACTATGTCTTTATCTTTGTATTGTGTACCTAGCATATTTTGGCTAGTCAAAAAAAAAAAACTGGTGAATGAGTGACAGAACAGAATAAAAAATGCCATCCCAAACTTTAGTTATTATAAAAATCCTTAAGCCAAAATAATTGTGGTTTTTTTAATTGAAAAAATTGTCTTAAAACTCAATGACTGGGCCGGCCGAGTGGCGCGTTGGTTAGGAGTTGGCTTGGGACGCCAGCTCTGAGCAGCAGGACCCAGGATTGGATTCCACAGGAGGACCAATGGTGCTGTGCCCTCTACAGCTAAGATGGTGAACAACAGCTCGACCTGGAGCTGGGCTGCCAAGAGGCAACAGCATAGGCTGCAGTGGATGGAGCTGGCCCGCAGCTAGCATGAGCTTTTGTGAACTTTTGTGAGTTGCCGTGAGAGGCTGTCCAATGGCCGGCGAACACCTGCCTCACCTGGGAAGAGTGCAATGATAATACCAACATGGGCCAGTGAAGCAATGTCCTCCACAACTAGACTGAAGAACAAAAGGACAGCGACTTGTCTGTTCCCCTTCCCTGATTACCCAATGCTGTTCCCCTCCCCCAATTCCCCAATTTAAAAAATCTTTAAAATAAAAAACAAAACTGAATGACTGTATCAATGTAATCACATCAAACTAGCCATCGCATACAAAAGGAGTTCTTCCATTCTCTCAGAGTCATTATTGTCTGATAAAACCAAAGCTTTTGGGTATTAGGCCTATGACTGTGCCAAGAAAACTGGCTGGAAGCATGACATTGTATCAACACCATCTATTCTACTCCTCCTTTACAGATATAGCTAATGATTTTAGCTTTAGAATCTAGACATATATCTAACAACAAATCATTATTATATAACAATGTTCAATTTGATAAATTTTATCTTCAAATTGAGCAAGTCAGGAGGACTTTTCCAGTGTAACCTGAAAGTCCAGCAAATGATTAAGTCATAGTAAAGCTAGCTGTACCCATTTTTGTAATTAACAGCTTTGTGTCAAAACAGAAAGTAACAACAGGATTAGTTACTCTTGATTTTTCAGGATAACAGGAATAGAAATGAAAAACGAAACTAATGCTTATAGTGTACAAAGTCCACTTTACTGGCTACTTTCATCCTCTTTCCCTTGAGCTATGAATTAATAATGAAATCATCTATTGTGAATTTTAATTCCTCTCTTTCCTTTTTATCTTGAGTGAAAGAGCTAGTGTACAATGATAGTCTAAAGGCTCCTAAGTATGACCAGAGGCCATTTATGATCAACCACTGAGTAATCACAAGTTGGATAAATTTTATGGGCTAAAAAAAAATTCCCAATACATGTAAAGGATTAAAATGGTAATATGAATATAAATGCTCAATTTAAACATAGAAACTGGAAACCAACACTACTTGATACTTAAATGTTTCTACAGTTACAGACTGTAGAATGCATTTCAGCACAAAGCCCAATATCACATCTTAGTGACAAATGCTGAGTTCACAATGTCAAATTATCAGAAAGGTCCTCTCATTTACTTTAGTTAGTTGTAGTGTTATCTATAGCAGAGGGTCTCTTAATGTGTGTCCCTGTACTCATAGCTACTTACATTTTTTTATCTACTTATTTTCTATGTTCACATAAACTAAGTTAAAATAAATCATGTACTGTTAATTAAATTTCCTCTCTTCCCTTCATGTTGGGGGAAAGGAACTTTTTAACTAAACATTCCAAATCATCAGACAAAGCTTAGTCCACATTTTTGTTATTTCTCAAAACCTGAGGAGGAATTTTATTATAAAAACTTTGTGATAATATTTTTGTATAATAAAAAATTTTTAAGGCAAACTTTAAAGGAGAACTTTCATACAAAATTCAGGAAGGTTGATCCTAACTTTTGACCACTTAAACCTAATACAGCTATATCAATAAATATATAAATACCTTTTTGTGTTCTTCATATTCTAATTTACTTAGCAACAATGCCTTCTCAAGATCTGCTTCAAACATTTCAGATGTCAGCTAAAAAAAAAAAAAGAAAGGTTCACAATAAACATATGATAGCATTATACCACACTAGGAAAATAACCATGACAAATATAGGAAAAGAAAAAAGAAAATAACATTAAAAAACAATCTGGGTTCCCCAAAGTTATCTATCCATGCCAAAGTAGGGAACCCTGTATTTTATAGAAGATACAAAAGCAAAAACTTCCAATTTGAGATTTCTATTTCCCCATTCATTGTCAATAATTTGTTGTATATCACATAATCCTTTTATTCTAATAAAAAAAAATCTTACGAAGAAATTGACACTGTAATGGCAATCTCATCTTATCTTCTTATAATCTAGTTTCTATCACCTTCCAATCAAATAACTCTCCAAGAATTAATTTTCCTAATTGCCAAACAGAATTGCTACAGTAGCTGGATGCGACTTTGAGTGGTCCAGCACTGACAATACGGAATAGCTGAAGCTGAATATAGGACAGTTGCAATATGACAAGAGTAAACAGCCTGCATTTGTATGCATGTATCTGTCAACCTATGTGTATTGGATAATGAAAGCATAAATTTAGTGGCCATCTCTTGCTTTTGTCTGTCCAGAATCCCTTCTTTTATTCCTTTGAACAACTATAGTTCATTCCAATGTCCTATTATTGTATCAGTACAGTCAATCACATAATCCTGTATACCACCCATCACAATATCCACACAGACATCCAATCTACCAATACCAACAAATTAGAAAAAAGTTAAAAATTATTTTCTTTGAAAGTACCTCATCTAATTCTATACCATGACAACAAAAAGAGGGCAAAAAGATGAATTTTATCAGAGGAAAAAACTTAATCTTATTCAGAGAAAAATACAATGAGAATTAAGGGTACATGGCATGAGAAAATCTGGTTAAGTCCAGAGTAAACTGTACATACTTTTTCTATGAAATAACTAAGAAGAACTGAATAATTCATTCAATCCAAACTAGTAATAATCTGGAAAAATAAATTCACCTTTTAAATAATTTATTATATAAAAGGATAATAAAAAACAATATAGTTATACAATAAAAAGAATTGGATTCATGTTAGTGTTACACAAAAAATAAAGTTGACATCAATTTCTCCACCTAAACTCAAAAGCAAACTGAGTAAAAATCATTTCACTATAATTAAAGCATAGTTGTCATCCCAATATAGAAAAAGTAACAAAACTACTTAACTTTACTCTAAACAAACCTGGTTGAATGTACCACTAAACTTTTAATCAATATTAACGGCACTTTTGTATTTATGGAAAGGGCATTTATTTCCAATATATAATAAATTTTCTGACTGATATTTCAAAAATAAGTTAGTGGGAGGAGAATACTTAGGAAGTTGGGAGACTTGCAAAATGTCGTTATTCTTTTTCATATTAATTCAAAGATATTAAGGTAACTGAGTCTAATAGCATAATAAGAACTGAATGAAATGGAACTTATAAAGTGAAAAATATGGCTCACTTCAGCATTTGATTCCAAATGTAGCAGTTTAGAGCTTAAATTACCTTTTAATCATAAACACAAACTAGTAAACAAAAAAACACAAGTAGGAAAAAATTATTTAAATTTCAACTTAAATCTTTGAAAACTAGAAGAAATCTTCCAAAAATGTCAATGTACGATCAATCAGCCAATAAGGACTTACAGAGAACCTTCTATGTGCTTTGCATGTAGGGCTTGGCTTTGAAGCAGCAGCATAAATTGTGCTTTTGCCTTCAAAAAATTTCTACTCCATTTGGGGACAGAAGACTATCACATATGAAGTACAGAAAATAGAATACAACATTAAAAGTGCTACAAAGTTAATGGAATGAAGATAAACAACAAATAGAAAAGAAACTAATTTAAGCTGGTCCTTAAAGGATATATATATACATAATTTGAACACATAGAAAAAGGAATAGAAGAACTTCAGGAGGAAAGAGCCATGTGAACAAAGGTATATTAACAATGGATATACTATCAGGTATCAAGGAAAGAGATGCCTGATATAAGGTAAATTCTATACAGGAAATGTGGAAAAAACACAGGCCTTGGGAGATCATATAAGTGGGTAATTTAAATTACTATTCCACTATGCTAGCTGTGACCTTGGGCAAGTTATGTAACTTGTTAATCTATTTCATCATATATAAAAAGGAAGTACAAATATCCACCTTGTAGGGTAGTTTTGAAGACTTAAAGCTATAATATATGTAAAGTGCCTAGCACAGAGCCTGCATGATATAAAAGTTTCACACAGTAGATTAGAATTCCCCTCTCCTCTATGTTGGAGAATAGTAGGAAATAATATTGCTTAGGTAGGGCAAAATTAGGTTCCAGACCCTCCCTAAAAATTAGGAATTCAGGGCAGAAGAAAGAGGAATGCTGATAAAAGTAATTTTAAAGAAATAAACTGGATATTAGAAGAATGAGAATTTAGAATCAATGTGTCTGGCTAAACCACTGCAATCTCAGCCTATAGGAACCTGGATGAGAACATAGCAGTGCAGAAAATAAAGAAGGCTGTATCTTAGAAAAGAATGACCAAGTTTTGGAACTGACGAAATTATGAAGTGTGAAAGAACGAATCAAAGATAAGATTTTTGACCCTAGTTAACAGGGAGCATGGTAGCACAAGGCTAAATCATGAGGAAAGGGGAT